ATGTCCGAGTTACAGCCAAGGCAGTCTCTTTTGCTTTCTCGCTTTTCGGTGAGAAAACATCTACACTGAATTCGTGTGTCATGAAATTTACCTACTTCAGCATGCAGATCAGTGATTAATGTACTCAGAGTTGGGCCACTGTCACTGAAAGTAAGCTTAAAGTATTTTCATTACCCCAAGAGGAACCCCAGGGGCCGGGGAGATGGCTCAGTAGAATAAGCGCTTCCCTGGCAAGCACAGGGCCTGAGTTCAATCCCTGGTTCCACAAAAAAAAAAAAAAAAAGGAACCCCCTTTCAATGTGACTTCAGCCCTGGGCAACTGCTAATCTCTTTTTCTTTTTTCTTTTTTAAGGATCTTTTTATTTTTATTTTTTGGCGAAACCAGGGATTGAACTCAGGCCCTTACATTTGCCAGGGAAGCGCTTATTCCACTGAGCCATCTCCCCGGCTCCTGCTAATCTATTTTCTATCTCTAGATGTGTCTATTCTGGATATTTCCTGTATAAATGGAAAGAAACCATAAATGGTCCTTCACGACCAGCTGCTTCGGCTTAGCATAATATTTTTCTAGTCTCCTCCGTCCTGCAGGACATGGCAGTACTTCGTGTCTTTTGTGGCTGAATCCAGCTCCACTGTATGGGCATTACCACATCTTGTTTATCTGACTGGTCAGTGGTATCCAAACTGTTTCCATTTTGGGTTGTTATGAATAATGCTGCCCAAGCATTCGTTTATCAGGTTTCGGGGGAACTGTGTTTTCACTTCTCTATGTTATTACCTTAGGAATAGAATCACTGGGTCATGTCTTGATTCTGTTCGACCCCTCAGGAACTGCCAGCCTGTTTTCCAAAATGGCTGCACAATTTTCCATTCCACTAGCAGAGTACGGGGTTCAGATTTCTCTACAACATTGCCTTCGCTTTTTGGGTATTTTTTTTTAATAGAAATTTCTAATTATCAGCATCTGGTTACTTAGATCTCTACGTTAAAGCAGTAGAAGAAATTTACTCTTCTTAAAGCTGAAAATTAAAAATAGGAACATCTATCCCCTATTAAACTAAGGAGCAATATCTTACAAATAAAGAATGGAAAAATCTATTCTGATTAAGGAATGATGACTTTCAAAAATGTTTTTGGCTATAGTATGTGTAAAAATTCTGTTTATTAATACTGTTCTCTGTTGGTGTCAGGAAATGAAAGATACTGTTCAATGAATTTATTAATTGATGTCATTTCGCTGTCACCTCAATGGTTTACTTGAATAATATTTTTGTTGTATATGTTTGAATGTACAATACACTTCAGTTGTTTTATACATGTGAAATTTGGAAGTTTCCTAAGAGAAACCAAATCTTATATGCATATTCATAGATTACAGTTAAAATTTAGCCATCCCAACTCTACATCAGAAACGGCTGTTTAGGAACTACAGCTGTGATAAAATAGTGTAAGGAGTGAGAAGCCACAGGTTCAAATTCTGTCTTCTCAACTGGAAAGCTTTTCAGTGTCAAGCATGTTGTTAACCTCTTTTTGTCTCAATTTCCTGATCTATTACCTCAGTACGATACTTCTATCTACCTCACTAACTCAGGTGACTGCCCAAAAATACCTTTATAACTATAAAGGTGTCCAGTGTATAGAATTCCGATGATAATTCTGCCTCTCACTATATTGACTGTATTTCCAGTTTCTTTTTTATGTTTTTGGTACAGGTTTTCACTATGCAGCTCAGTCTTTTACTGATCCTCCTCTTTTCAGCCTCCTCAGTGCATACCACCATGCCAGGGATTACAGGTGTGTACCACCACACCAGGATTCGGTGGCCAACTCAGTGTGCCTGGGGGGCGGGGACAGCGCAGGGCCAGCACGGCATGTGGTGCTGGGGATTGAACCCAGGTTCCTATGCTTGCCTAAGCAGGTGCTTAGTCCACTGAGCTATCTTGCCATCCCAATTTCAGGTTCTTAATTAAGTCATGATACCATTTATCAACTCTACTATATTTAGAAGTATACATTAACAAGCTTGCTTTCTACTTACTAAGCTTCTACACCTTTATCATTCAACATGCTGTGGAGAAATTGTGAACATTTTAAAATTGTATTCTTATTGTTTTATGGAAAAAATGTAAAAATTTCATTACAAAATAATGGAAAACAGTAGTTACTGCATTGCATACTGTTACCTTTAAAGTAGCTACTCAGACTACAAAATATGGGCATCCACAGTTCTACAAATGATAATAACACAAATCTCTCTTTTCAATGAACTAAGAGAAACTAATAGTATAGCTATCCTGTATCTTTTGCCACTTTTTCCCCCTTTTCTCCACCCTAGTTCCTTTTTCCTTTTGAATGATTTCTTCCTATTTCACAGTATGTATTGTACCTTTTAGATCTTGTTTACTCTTTCAGTTTCTCACACCAGGGATACAATATTATGTTTACACATGTGATTCTGATTTATTTCACATGTGAGTATGGTCTCAAATTGCATCCATTTACCTATAAAAGTCTCAAGTTATCTTTTCTGGCTGAGTAGTACTCTATCGTATAAAAGTCCACATCTTTGTATTCCTTGACTGATGGACATTTGGGTTGTTTCTAAGGTCTAGTTATTACAAACTGTGCTGCTATAAACATGGGTGTACATATATCACCATGGTATAATATTTTTAATTTTTCTGGGAAGATACTCAGAAGGGCAATAGCCGGGTCAAATAGGAGCTCTAGTCCTAGGGTTTTTTTTAAAGGAATTTTCATATTTGTTTCCACAGTAGTTGTACTAGACTACATTCCCAGCAACAGTGGAGCAGGGTTCCTTTTTCCCCATAGCCCTGTCAGCATTCGTTGTTGGTTGATTTCTTTCTTTCTTCTATTTTATTTTTTTGGTGATACCAGGGGTTGAACCCAGGACCTTGTGCTTGCCAGGCAAGCTACTTACTCCCCTGAACTATCTCCCCAGCTCCTTTGATTTCTTGGTGATATTCTTTCTGGAATGAGATGGAATCCCAGTATTTTACTTTACATCTCTCTAATGACTAATGATGTTGAATATTTTTTTCATATATTTATTTGCAATATGTATTTCTACATCTCTGAGAAGTGTGTACTCATCTCAGATGCCCATTCTTGTGTTGGGTCTTTGCATTTGGGGGAGTGTCTGATTTTTCAACTGTTTATATATTCTAAATATAAATCCTTTGCCTAAGGACAACTGGTTAAAATTTTTTCCCACTCCTGGTTGTCTTTTCACTCTGTTGGTGTTTTCTTTTGTTATGCAAAATCTTTTAAATAAAATGAGATTGAATTATTGATTCTTTGGAGTATTTCCCTATGTCATCTGTTTTTTTTTTTTTTTTAATTAACCCTGCCTACATCTATGTCTTAAAGATTTCTATCTATTTTCTTTTCCTGTAGAAATAATTCTGCTTTTAAGAGGAAGAGTCTTTGTTGTGGACTCATAGAATCTATGCTCATGTCCTACCTAGCTCTTCTTTTCCACCAGAAAAAGCAAAGATGACCTCCTCTTCTCGCATGATGTCTAGAACAGAGGGGAGGACGCACCACTGGGGCCTGACACTCACAGTTCAGGCAGGGCAATGCTCTGGACTGTGCATGACCTTGGATAGGTCTCAGGATTGCTCAGCTTTGGCTTCTGTAATGGTGAAGGGCAGGCAGAGAGCCCTGTGAGAAAGCTTAGTGAAAGTTCTAAGCTTTTGTGAAATGAAAGCACGTGCACGTTACAGGTTTTTCAGAAACAAGTCTCCCTTAGGGAATGACTTTATAGCACTGTTGTTTAACAGATGCGGTATCCAAGTGGCTTTCCCTAACTCTGTTTCCTTTTAGATGAAATTACACACATAGGAGAACACATTGCTTAATAAAGTGGCGAGCATACAAGAGGTTGGTTTTGTCTCTTCTCTTTTGGGAATCCTGTAGGACTGACTGGCTAGCTCTCTCCATATCATGAAGGAGGTGGTGATTTGTGTGATTTCTCCCCTACTCAACGATATGGGTTTGTTATTACTTACAAGACACAGAAAAATACTCTTCTGAGTGAAGACCCCTGGCTGATATATTTGAACATATTCTCCAAGTTGTGGTAGAATTCATCCACAAATACAATGATATCAACATGGCAGCCTACACATCACTGACTAGAGGCTGGTGAGGCAGTCTTAATTCATAATAACACAAATTAGTGCCCTGTCATTGATTTTAGGGAAGAGATTCACTACGAAGGTATTTGCTACCTACTTTGATTGATTGATAGATAGAATCTGTTTACCATTCTTCTTGTGATTGTAGCCCACCTGGTAACAAATGATGCTGAATTTAGGAGACACAGGAAAAACACAGCCTAACAAACCAATGTCCACAATCCAATAACACAGGGAAGAGAAGAAATATCTGTCACTCTTCTACTTCTCCTACATGTCAGTGGACTGTGACTGAGATGCCGAGTGCTATACTAACAGATACTGTGATGAGTGATACGGCAGTGGGGGTCACGCACTTCCCTCCATGACTGTGATCTGTCCATATTCTGCATTCTTGTCCAGCATCTACCCTGCCCACCTCCCACGTACCAATTGAGGGATAAAAATTCTAGCTTTCGATGCCTTCGATGTCTACCTGTGTCTTCTGGTCTTGTAGTACTAAATAGTGATTTTAGTGGTTATATTACTTCAACGGGATAGAGTTGGATACCTTCATATTTCATTTATTACTAGTAAAAGCTAATTTTTTCCTTACCTGAATTATAAGTATCATTTTGATTTGGTGCTCAAAGATCGCCTTTTACAGGTTGATTTCATTGGACCAGACAAACACGAAGCTTGATGATACCTGTGTTTTAATTATATGATTAACTTTTCAAATTGATGGGTAGAAGGTCCCACAATGAATGGCCTAAAATTCCTCTGTGGCTCATGCTGATGGCCTGATAAATGTGATTTGGTGAAGCCATTTATTCTTTTGCTCTGTACTTTATTTTTCAGAAGGATTTAAGAATAGAAGAATTGAAGTCAACTATCACAGAACACAGAAGCGCTACCGAGGTAGGCTTTGATTTTATGGCCTGCAAGATGGGGTTGTTGAATGTAAATTCCCCTCTACAGTCACATATGCAGCCTAATGTTGTATGAGATTCCAGAATTTATGCGGGAAGAAAAATGAACTAGCTCAAGAGGTGCAACGGGTGTGGCAGGAGCTCGTCGCATAAGTACAGAGCAGCCCTTGCCAGCTTTCTCTTCACTGGCCACTGGGCTGCTCTGCAGTGCTTGTGTCTTTGCCTGAGAAATGTCCTCTTCTTTTCTCTTCTCCATGAGAACACTTTGAGTTTTTCCATCTCACTTCTGTCTCAGTCAGCTTGTTCCACTCTACCCAAACCCCTCACGCTGGGTGCCTTCGATACAAATCTTTACTCCTTATGTTTCTGGAGGTTGGAAATTGCAATCGGGGAGCCATCAGCATTGAGAGATCTAGGGAAGTGCGTGACCCCCACTGCAGTTGCCAAGGTGCAGACTGCTGGCTTCTCTTGTAGGAGAGACAGCTAGCTCACTCTCTGTTCTTTTTCTTTTCTTTCTTCTTTTTGGAAGGACACTAACCCCATTTATGATCACTGCAGCCACATGACCTAGTGACCTGTAAATACCACAGGGACAGCATAGCACATGGTTCTTACCTCTTTCTGAATACCTCTCATCTTGGGTTATAATTTGTTTCTGAATGTGTATATTAGCCCAAGCTCCACAGATGCCCAGGTAAGGAAAGAGTAAGTCCACAATAAGAGAACACACGCCTGAGGAGGGTGAGAAAAGGGTACTCAGGACAGAAGTGGGAACTCTGCCTCACTCTTGCTGATTTTATATCAAGACTCTACGGACTTTGTGTGCCTATATCTTCTGATTTTGGAAGAAAAGACAGAAATCTAGACTTTTTGGTGACTTTTTTTCTCTCTTTTCTAACCATTAGCTGAAATCCCTTTTAAGAAGCATGGCCAGGCCTGTAACTCTTGTGTTCTGAGAGGCTGAGGCAAGAGGGTCACAAGTTCAAGCCCAGTTTGGGAAAATTAGAGATTTAATAAGACCCTGCCTAATTGTAAAAATATACATAAATAAAACATGATCTGGTAATGTAGCTCCATGTGAAGGACCTGAGGCCAGTACCTAGTCCTATTAAAAAAAAGTGTGGCCCTGACTGCTTATGACCTCTGAGGGTCCCTAATGAGCAACTCTGGAGGACAAAGACTGTCCTTTCTCCATCCTCGAGTAAGATTCTTCACCCACCTGGGCATTCAGTGGTTATTTGATGATAAATGAACCCACTTGTGACTTCAAACACAATGTTGGAGACACTGTAGCTAGGTTGGATGACTGTTCTTGTTTTTTCAAGAAATGGGATCTAGTTGAATGCTATGAGAGAGCACAGCCCAGCCCTGTCTGGAGGAGAAACTTCTTTACAATGTGAGCCCATCCTTGCTGGGTCAGCAGAGGTAAGTTGGTGTCTGGTAAACAGCTTTAAGTCAGGGGCCCTCCTGTGCAGCCTACTGTTCTGTGAAGATCTGTAGCTTGTTGAGAATGACCCCAGACATTGCAAGGAGGTGTGTGGATATTTTTTAGATTCCAAAATCTAAAGTCTCTCAGCATGGAGAAGTAGGACCATTTCTAGAAAAGTTATAGCCAGGAGCTACAGCAATGATGGGGCCTGGTTTTGTGGGAGTGTATATTCAGTGACTTGAAATTTAGAAGTCTACATAAACTTGGTCTTTTCAGGGAAGACTACCTGCACCAAGACCCACCTTAAGGCCTCAAATGCAATAGTGCAGAGCTGTTGGCTATATGTTGGTTCCTTCTTTTATTTTAATTTATTTATTTATTTATTTATTTATTTATTTATTTATTTATTTTTTGAGACAGAGTCTTGCTATGTAACCCAGGCTCGCCGAGAACTCATGACGACTCTCCCGCCTCAGCCTAGCGGGTGCTTGAATTACAGACATGCACCACCATGCCTGGCTTTGTTTTAGTATTTTCTGAAGTTCTCAGATATATTTACTGTTCTAGCTACTTGTCCTGAGACAAAGTACCCAGCACCCAAAATGAAAGGAGGAAAGGTTTATTCAACTCACTTTTTATAGAGGTTTCAGCCCATGCTGGGCTAGCTCAATATCAGGCTTGGCAGAGGGACATCACAGAAGAGCACAGTTCATAGCACCCACAATATAGCAAAAGCAGCAAGGAGGAGACACAAGCTTCTTTCTGTACCTTACCTTGTGTGTGGGCCAGCTGCCCACCCGACAGAAGGATTAGCATTCCTGCTCTTCTTTTTTTTTCCCATAATTTTATTAAGAAACAAATAGCAATGAGACAGTTTCAAACCAAATTGGTAGGACAGTTTCAATAATTAACACATTGCATAAATTCTTCCTAGTGGTTAATTGCTGTGCAAGATGCGGACTTGATATCCTATTTACAAACACTATTAGAACAAATCCCTCTATTCATTAAGAGAATGTATCTATATATCTATCCTAACCACTTTGAATACACAAATACAAAATGGACATTCATCTGTATCCCCCTTTCTTGTTTAGTTCTGTTATTTGAATATTATAGGTGTGTTAACTCAGCAAAATATTCTAAAAGAGTCCAGTAGTCCATAATAGTATTGGGTCTTCTGCTTGACTGACAATATCAGAAATTGTTGACCTGAGTCCCCTATAGCTCAACATAACAGCATGACTTTACTTCTTATACTTCGTTTTTATACTTCTCTGCCGGATGGTTATAGCTTTTGGATCTAATAAGGTCAGTGAAATCCCCTCAGGATTTATCCTGAGATCCTGTACCTCATATTGTAGATCTTTTGTCAGTGTCAGCCATGTGGATGAGTCATGGCCATTGCTTGGCCAATGTGCTCTCTGTGAAAGCCTGAGAGAATGTTTTCTCCCCATGTGACTCTCCTTAGGCACACTCTACATTATCGATCACTTTCTTCTTTGGCCCCATAATCTCCTTGGTCAGAAAATTTGGGACACTACTGTGTTATGTGACTTTACAGTACAAGTTCTCATATGTCCTGAGTCTTAACTGACTTTGGAAGACTAGGGCCAAAATGTTGGCTTTCCTTGCGGTCCTCCTTTTTCTCTAATTTTGGTCTGCAAAATTAGGTTGTTAACCCCCCAGAAGAGAAGTTTATTGTTATTACCATACAACCTAGGCTATTCCTCTACTGGGAATTTTCTTGGATGATCTGAAAACATCATATCATAGTGATATATGTGTACCTATGTTTATAGCAGCACAATTTGTGTTAGCCAAATCTTGGAAACAACCACAATGCCCATCACCTGAGGAATTAATAAAAAAGATGTGGTATTTTTATACAATGAAGTAGTACTCAGCTGTAAAGAATGATAAACTTGAAGCCTTTATATTGAAGTGGATGCCACTTGAAGACATACTCATAAGTGAAATAAACCAGACACACATGTGTAAATATCATATAGTTTCCCTAGTATAAGAACTCAAAAGAAGAAATACAAATAGCAAGGTATAATACAAGTAAAATGAAATCAGGATCTTGAGGACTGACTAATCAAGACAGGGACAGGTGAAGAGCTAGGAAACAAGACAGTGACAAGCCATACAGTTATATGTAGAAGATGGGCAAGGCAATGATCCTGAGAATCTCCAGAAGATTTTTGAATCTAGCAGTTAATTGGAATGGTTCTCACCTGACTAACTATATATACTGACATCTGTGAACTAAGCAACTGCACTGAAGATGGCAATTTGTAATAGTAGGTTCATGCTTGGAGTGCCTGTCATTCTGGTCTTCTGAATACAGGCTGCTTGTCATGACATGCCAGTTGCTGCTGTGCTATCTTTCAGGTAGATGCTTGTTCAAAAAGAAGGGGGTGGTGAATGAAGGCAGGAGACAGGAAAAGGAATGTTGTGGGACTGTCCTGCTTCAAGGTTGTATATGGTTAGATTTTTGGACTTAGGTGTAAACATAAGAATTATATAATTCTTTGTGCCTATTTTTAAAATATATTCTAATTTTTAAATGCTTTTTCATGATATTCTGTAGGGACTTAAAGTTCAACATATCAATACTTGATGAAAAATACCTGTTCCATATTATGCCTAAGATGTTTGATATGCAGACAGATGGTGAGGTTAAGCATTCCCACTCTTAATCCTAGATAAAATCACAACAAACCAATCAGTGGGTGGATTTATTAATCACAGACCCTTAATCCCAGCATCACACACTCTAGAGCCCTCTCAGAAAAAGCCCTGTAACTGCATGAGGGCTTGGGGAGACATCAAGACACAAACTGTAACATTTACCCAATATTAAGATGCCCCCAAATAACACAGATTTCTTTGCTTTACCAATGGTTCCAAACCAACTGTATGACACTGATTATTATATTCCTGACAGAAACTAGAATTTTTGTATTATAGTTAATTTTATTTCAATTGCCCTCATCAAGGCCTTGACTTCTTACTTTTATGCTATTAGTACACATCAGCGGCACAGAAGTCTCGCCTCCTTGCGTGCGGTTGGTACAGGTGTGCACCGTATCTTAATTCCTTTTCTCACTCCATCCCCTCCCGCCTTCCTTCGTCTCTCCATCCCCTTCCCTGCTGAGATAGGTCTGTCCCAGTGGTTCCAAATATCTACCTTTTATTTTGCTTTTCATATAAGACACCCTTAAGCTCATGTGTCTGATTTACTTCATCTAACATTATGGCCTTAGCTGACCATGGTAGTGCCTGCCTGTCATTCCAATATTCAGGAGGTTGAGGCGGGAGGATCCCCGTGAATGCAAGGCCAGCCTGGGCTATGTGGTGGCATGCTGCCCCAAACAAAACAAAACAAAGCCAAACAATTATGTTCTTAGGATACATCCATTTTCCTTGAATCATCCAAATGATTTGTTATCTTTTTTTTTTTTTAAGGATATTTTCTTTTTAATTTCTGTATTTGGTACAGGCTTTCACTATGAAGCTCAGACTTGTAGTGATCCTCCTGTTATCAGCTTCCC